CGGTTCTGTGCTTTCTAAATACATTTGCCGCTCATCGAACACCAGATTTACGTTTATACGGGCGTTTAATATATCAGAACGACGATGGCAAAATCATATTCATCGCGACCGCGTATGTGCGATTCTCGGTGCAACGAACGCGCCGGAAACCGACAGTCAGAAACGGTAACTTGCACATCGAGATTCTGCGTTTTTGCCAAGATTTTAATCGTCGGCTATCCTACACGCTTAGTGCATAATTTTTGTTATTATCGCGCGCAAACTCTCTCCTGCAGTAGTGCTTAATAATTGTTTTTTTGATCAAATCGTGTTATTACTACCAGAATATCAAATCAATTGTCACTGAATAAGCTCATTTCACAATTGCGTAGTTGTAAGTGATTGTAGTTGTATAAGAATTAGTTTTGATCAGTTACTGTCAATTATGAGAAGAATATTCGTGGTTGATCAATTCTTACACTGAAAGAAAAGATTGGTTGTTGCAACAATTCAGATAGTAAAATATGGCGTAGCATTTTTAATCGGCTGCAGCAATCAGTTTTTGGTTGTAGCAGCAAATTTTTAGTTGCGTCAGCCTATCGAAATCATATACTGACATTGCGGATAGGCTAACGCAAGTAAAAATTTGCTGTTACAATCAAAAACTGCCGCAGTTGATTAAAAATGCTATGCCACATTTTACTATCTAAATTGTTACAGCAATCTTTTCTTTTAGTGTACTAAAGCTCTAGATATATACCAAAATAACGCAAGCCTTTTTTATCTAAGCCGAAATGCCGACAACTTTTCTATTGGCTATTTCGACCGCTATTTTGGATTTAATGGTCTGTAATCCAATAAGCATTTAGTATTATTGATATATATGGTTAGTAAGTCGAAAATGGAGGACCTTTGCGCTACTTTGGTATATCCAGAGCTTTAATTCTTACAACTGTAATCACTTATAACTACATTTACGCAATTCTAAAATGAACTTTATCTAACTTATTCAACGCAGTTACTTTAATCTCGTAAAAAGAGCGCGTGACAAAAACTCGAGTAGTCATGAACAAAAAATTATGCCGCAGGCATCTCATATTTGTATTCAGAAGGATCGTGAGGACGTGATGCCGTCCGATAAACGTTCCTTAAATTACCTGAGATATAAACGAGGAAGCCGCGTGCGCGAAATATATCTGTGCGGAGACCATTTGTTGATGATCTGAAACCGCTTTTAACCACAGACTCCTTTGACCAGGTCTTATCAACATGGGAATTTTTCCATCCCCCTCGTATTTTTACATGATCTATATAAATGTATATTCTTTATGCAACAATTTACGCGTATGTGAATTTATTATTAGTATAAAATGATTTTTATTTCTTAACAAACAACATTCATTTAAAATTAACAAAATTGAAAAGCTGCGTGTGTTAGAATTAAAATTATACGTATTTTTATATCGGTGAAATGAGACAGTAATTTAAACAATTTCTGAATTATGTTTCGATCTCTCTTTTTGTCATCGTGTTTGCTTCAATACGAATTTATTAATAGTATAAAATAAATTTTATTTCTTAATAAACAATATTTATTTAAAATTAACAGAATAGAAAAGCTGGTGGGTTTAGAATTAAAATTATATATATTCATATATCAGAATATTTATATACACAATATATCTATTACGTTTCGGTCCCTCCTTTTTTTAATCGTTATTCGCTCGTTCGATACGACGCAACGGTAAATCGGCCTGTTAAGTGACTTCTGTTAGTTAATATTTGTATTATTTAACTCCAGGAATTCATGCCCAAGCGGAACCCCTAAAGCGCGTGCATTTGCATATACTTAAACCGTGCGCGACCGCATACGGACCGCATCTTGGAATCATCCGCGGGGATTCCACGTGTTGCAATGCCGTAGAGATACGAAGTTATAGGTACCGTACGACGCAACTGCGGGGCACGCAGGTGGTAGATTTTCCGATCGGTCCCCGCGTGTACGCTTGGCCACGATTTGTTCGTCGCCGTCGTCGTCGTCGTCGTCGTCGTCGTCGTCGTCATCGTCGGGGACTTTTCACGGACGAAGGGGCCGCGGGGCCCAGTTCGTCGATTGTTCACGACGCAACACGCGCAGCAATGAAAGCTTGACGGCACGAGTAAAAAGCCTGTGAGGTAGACATAAATAAATAGATAGTGGGTGTGGTTGGTAAGGCCGCACACATGGCGTCGTGACCCGTCGTCTCCGTTCGTGAGCTCGAGGCCAGCTCGAGTTATGCCCCGCGGAATGTTGCTCCCGCCGCGCGCAAGCAAGCAAGCAAGCAAGCAAGCAAACTCTTTATCGGTATCGCGGTTAAACGTAGTTCCAACGTGCACTTGTCTTCTGTCCCCCTGGAATTACATTCCTCCTCGTTTCGAACACTCCGTGTTCGTTGACATTACGCGTTTGTGTCGAAAAATCTATAGGAAACGTACGATTTTTATTCAATGGATGAAAAGCCGAAGGAGATGGATATGGCATAAAAGATTCTACGCGTGACGATGTATAAATAAATAAAAACTCTCGCAAACGTTACGCAATTACAAGAGATTCTCGTTCAAAGAACGAGCTCTTTCGGACGTTTACGAACCGTAACGGGGTCAGATTGGGGTTCCGTATAGCGTGCGACGATCGAGGGTTGATCCGGAAATTCAGGAATCTACAAGCGTGTGTGTCGTGTAACGTCGTTCATGACTTAGCACGGTGCTTGGCTTTGGCGGTTGAGGCTGCCGATATACAATGCCGCATTGTTTCGTCGTTGCAGCTATCTTAGTCGGTAGCACGCAGGATGACGTCGAGCCAATGTTTATTATCTTCCTTCGCGTAACAAAACAAAATGTTCTGGCGTTATATTATCCGTGCTTCTTGTAAGTTCGTGCTCGAATCAATCTCCTATATAAAATCTAGCACTGTCTTGCATTGTTTTTAGACGACGCGGCGTACGAAACAATGTGAGGATAGCGAACTTCGAATTTGTGTTACTCGTAGGCAATAGATATTTTAAAACAGATAAACAGATATAAAATATCTCACTGCGTTGCTAGTAGAGATAATGCACTCTAAAAAATATCGGTATGGATTTAACTCCACGGGACATCTAATTATTACCATGTTGGTGTTAATGTTCACATCAATGTGATGTGGATTAAAGCCCTTGATGTTTATTTTAATCATTATTAAAATCACATCATAGGTATCATTTTAAATTCACACGATAATGATGTTGATATAAACACTAGGAGTTTTAAATTCATATCATATTGATATTAATATTAATTCTTTGTCTCATTTGGAGTCAATTTGACTCCAAAAAATGTTGAAGATTTATATCTCTATAATTAATACATCTTTAATTAGTATTTTAATAATTTTTTTTGTACAATAATTTTTTAGAATAAATAAATTTTTGGAACGCGGACTATTGCATTACTTTTTTTCTAAAACTATCATATCTGTATATATAGCCATGAATGTTTATAAAAAAAAATTAAAAATTAAAGAGTTATGATTTTTTGAGTAAAAAAACTCATACTTTACTTTTGCGATTTAAAAAAAAATATGTTAAAATAAAAATCTTTATAAAGCTGCTGATATTTCTAAGTTCCACAATAATGTTTGAAGTACTACGTTCAGTAATTTTTTTTTACTTCAAAGAACGAAAACTGTGAACACGGCAATCGATTAAACGCATTTTGAGATCATTTTGATCCCGGTGTGATCATTACGGAACTTTCAAGAGGTGTGACCACGAAAGGTTAATACCATGTTGATATTAACGTTGACATCAACATACAGAGAATTATACAGACACCGCATGGTGTTAAATCAACACTGATATTTTACAGAATGTGCTAGATAATCATCAAAGAATACATTGAAGGTATTACGAGAAAAGATACGTCTAAAATAAAGAAAGAGCTAGAAAGGAATGATCTAAATGTCACATCGAATAAGAGAGTGCAAATACAAAGTGAAATATCGAGGCTGGCGCGATTAAACGTTTCACGCATATTTTCCTTTGCGTCCTACATGCGAATCGAAAGAGGTCATCCATCCACCTCTCGTACGAGCCAGGTTTCCACTTTCATGGATGGCCGCCGACCGGCTCGCACGCCCGCGCGTGCGTCACGATTTTATTTTCGTCGCTAGCAACGCGACTCGCGTATTTCGCGAACAATTATTACGTATATCCTTTGAATGGAAAGTTTCCTTTCTCCCGAAAGCGGTAGACGAGGCGAGGAATCACCGCGATAGATTCGCAGATAGAGTTTTGTTGTGCCAACAGTGAAAGCCGCGATCTCTGATCAGCCTTGGCACGATTAGATGCGAATCGAATTCTGTGTCTTATTGCGATGCGCGCGAATCTTCTCCTTTTCGCGCATCGCGGCAAGGAAGAAGGGAAAAAAATGAGGGATTGAGAGGAAGTCGCGAGAATCGCGTATCGGCGGGAGAGCTGCAGAGAGAAATAGCTTTCTTATTTCCATGAAAATTGCGTTCGGCGATTTCGACGACAATGCCATTCCGGTGTTTTAAATGCAAATCTACAAAAGGAAAAACCGTAAAGGCATTATAATTTATATTACTACATGTGGCAGCGGCGCTTCCGGCGAAAGAGCATAGGCGCAGTTCCGGTCAGCCCCACGGGTTGGAGAGATCCTACATCGCCAGATTATGAGCCCACCGCCGCTTTTACAATGGATCGTCCGCCTCTGAGTCGTACGTCAGCAAGAATAATTCTGCGTTACCACCGCTCGCGCTCGTCTTGCCAGCAAAATAATACAAACGATCGCCGAAGGGCGCGCGGCCTTATAAATTAAAAATTATTTTCTTTTTTCTATTGTCTACGGAATAAATAATTTTCTCGGGTTTATAAATATTATCGATGCTTATTACCTAATTTTAATGTAATATAATTATCATAAGTCACACGTGCTTAAGAGAGAAAGGATAGACGGTGTGTACTTTGCACGATTAACTCACTAATTATATTTATTGATTTTCTATGATACATTTGTGACGTTGATGACAGACAGGTACGTGTATAACGAATAAATACGTCAGGTTACAATAGATAGCGAAAGAAAATAGTTGTTTTTAGACTACGCTAAGAATTGGCCATTTTTGATGAATTCCACGATCGCCTGGACGGTGTTCTGGAAGCGTGTAAAATTCTCTCGACCATCCTCAGGAGATTTGGATTTGTAAATAGCGTTTGTGTACGCCGAGGTCAATTCGGATACCAATTTCTGTGCCTTTTTAGCGGCTGCATCGATCGATCCTGTGGGCGTTTTAATTTCTTCCGCGGTCCTCACGATTTCCTGCTTAATGAGTTCGACGAGCTTCGCGTCATCCTTCGCGTTCGAATCCCCGCTCGAGATCTTCTGCAGAATGTCTCTGATGACAGCCGTGTTCTCATCTTGTGATCAAATGAGATGAAGAGGTTTGAGTTAATCAAGAATTAAAATCTGGTTGCATGTAAATCTAATAATAAGTATTTTTTAATGAGTTAATTTTATTCGGTTATATATCTTTCACCTGTTGATCGTGTAGGTGTTTCCCTAATTATCCTCTGGGACTGAGAAGCAGTGCTCGCCATCAGGACGATCGCAACGACTGCTAACTTGGTCATCTTCGGAAATCGTATCGAGTAACAAACTGTCAATCGATTGTCCAGCCGCGCTCTCTCTCTTTTTATATGAACGCGCTTACTCGCGAGTAGGGATGACATTATGTAAAATGTAATTTGCCGTTCGTCGTGTATGCGGTCGTTGACCATTATAAATGATTCTAATGAGTGTCATTAAAAAAAAAAAGACGCGCGTGAGAGAAAGTGGAGCGCCGCAAACGGCACGTTTCAAGAAAGTATGCTTTGTTTTGATTTCTACCCGTTGACAACCGGAAGAAATTAGCTCAAATAAGACAAGTGTAAAGCGAAGCATTTCTCTTAATTACCTGCACGATTTTCATCTAATGAAATAAATATCCCTAATCAAAAGAGTGCTGGGCATGTATTATGAAATTATTCAGAATAATTCCGGAATCCATTCTGAACAATTCCGTAATACATATCCTGATCTTCTAAAGAGAAGAATAAAACGTCTGAATTATGTTAATAAAAATTTGTATATGTAAATAAAAAAATAAAATGTTAACTTTAATCTATAATTGTATAGTGGACTTTCTGAAGTTTTCAGAAAGTCTCTCTCTCTCTCCACTATATGACTATAAGTTAGAATTAACATTTTATTTTTTACAGTGTGCCAGGATGTCTTAAAATTTGCTACTCAAAATATTATAGTAAGACAGTTCTCGAAAAATTAAGTAAAAAAATTTGTCAATTTTTATTTTAATTTTTACAATAATTTTTGAGATAATAAGGGTTTAAATATGGCCAATTACAGTCTATATTTAGATAGTCACGTGTCTGTGAGTCGCGATAACATCTAGTGAGTGCTGATAAGTGCGCACTTCAAGCGTATTCACCTATACTCACAGGAGACTATCTAAACATTGTTTATAATTGACATAATCTATATATAAACTCTTATGTCTTAGAAACTATAAAAAATGGGAATTTATAAATAAGTTTTTTTACTTAATGTTTATGAAAACTTTTTTAGTATTTTGACTTGCGAATGTTTAAATATTCTGTGTATCAGTACATATATTTTTTATTTCATATTTTATATGTGTTACATAACGCAAACTCTTCGAAATGATACATATGTCGTCACGATCTT